TGATTATTAACTTCAGGTCCCACCACAGACGTGCTCTTCTTCAACTTCAGGACACCACAGACTTCAGACTCCAAACAACCCCCCCCAACCCACCCCCTTCTGCAATGTGGTGATCCTGTGTATTTTCAGATGCCTCTGAGGTATACACTGTTAATTTGATTTCACTGATAGCCATAGCTCCAAAAGGTCAAATAACTCAGCCATGGTCACACAGTGGGTTTGTGGCAGAGCCAGGACTTGATCCCCAGAGAGCTGTTTTTCATTTTCTTTCCACCGCTTGCAGTCTAGCACCCGAAGGCACGAAGGGTGTATTCAAAGGTGAACACCCAGAGGACACGTGGTGATGTCTGGCAGTGGATGAGTTAATCACAGTTAAGTAAAATCTGGAATTATCATGCAATCAGCAAGTCTGTGTTCAGAGCATCTGGGTGCTCTGGCAGACAGGGACAAGTCCATCCGTTCACAGCTGTAGTCCTGTACCCAGCACTTCCTGGCACACAATACATGCTCATTAAATGATAGAAGTGATCTATCATCTATTCAAATAACAAAATGAATAATATAAACTAATGCTGATGAAATGTAGATCACCACCAGCCAGCTGCCTTGGGGCTCCAGGATCTGTGGGAAGGGTTACAACACAGGATTTTTTTTTTTTTTGGTTTTTCGAGACTGGGTTTCTCTGTGGCTTACAACACAGGGTTTTATAACAAAATAGTACCTAGACAAAAATCATAAGAACATTAAAGAACATTTTTTTAAGCCAGTGGCTTTGATTCCAGCACTTGGGAGGCAGAGGCAGGTGGATCTCTGTGAGTTCCAGGCCAGCCTGGTCTACAGAGTGAGCTCTCTAAAGCTACAGAGAAACCCTGTCTCAAAAAAAACTTTAAAAAGTCTTTTTTTAAAAAAGATTTACTTTTTTTATTTCATGTGCATTGGTTTTTGCCAGCATGTATATCTGGGTGAGGGTGCCAGATTCCCTGGACCTGGAGTTACAGGCAGTCGTGAGCTGCCATGTGGGTGCTGGGAATTGAACCTGGTCCTCTGGAAGAGCAGCCAGTGTTCTTTAGAGGCTGGACAGATGGCTCAGTTGGTAAAGTGCTTGTATCCCAAGCACAAGGTCCTGGCTTTGATACCTGTAAGTTACATGAAAAATTCAGGTGTATGCTTGCAATCCTAACACTGAGGCAGGGACAGGCAGCCTAGCCTAATTGGTGAGCTCCAGGTTCAGTGGGAGACCGTCAGGAAACAGGCAGATGACGACTAGTATTGACCTCTGGCCTCTACATACAAGTGCATTACGTGTACCCATATGAACACACACACCTACATATCCACACGCGTACTGCAAAGAAAAAGAAAGTGGCTAGAGAGATGGCTTAGTGGTTAAGAGCACTTGTTACTCTTGGGGACCAAGATTTGGTCCTCAACTCACATAATAGGCAGGTTATAACCGCCTATAACTCCAACTCCAGGAAATCTAATGCCCTCTTCTGGCCTTTGCAGGCACTGCACTCACATTCACATACACACACACACACACACACAGAGTTAAAAATAAAAACAAAATATTTTAAAAGAAAAAAATAGGTGAGGAACCTTGAAACTTTCTGCAGGGCTGGAAGCTAAGCCAGCATCATCATCATGACAATCCCAATATACCAGCAGCCAATGAAAAATTGGGAATCAACATTTCCCACCCATACCTCTGATTCTGCATGTTCAGAATCTGGACATGCCTGCTGCTTCTTCAGACTGGATGACCAGTGTGCTCAGGGCCAGAGTATGAAGAGCCATGCTCACTGAAATTGGAGAAGCTAAAGGAACATGGCCTTTATTATCACTTGCTAGGACGTCCTGTGTGAGAAGAGCCCTTGGAATTGTGGGGCGTTGGTGGTGCATGCCTTTAATCCCAGCACTCAGGAGGCAGAGGCAGGTGAATCTCTGTGAGTTCAAGGCCACCCTGGCCTCCAGAGTGAGTTCCAGGACAGCCTCCAAAGCAATACAGAGAAATTCTGTCTCAAAAAGAAAAAAAGGGGGGGGGGCTTGGGAAAGGCCCTGGGCATCGCCTGGCTCCAACAGGTAGGGATATCTTATGATGATCAAGGCCCTCCAGAGATGAACGGGACCCATGGGCCGCCTGTGGATCAGGGCTCTAACGACCCCGTGCGTTGCAGCATACACTACCTACACACTCACTCCACTAAGTTTGGTAAGTGTCACACAAGACTCGTGCTAGTAGGGAAATGAGGGTGGAGTAAACAAAGTCTGTACCTTTAGGCCACCAGGGCTGAGTTAGGAAGGCCTTGGTTCCTCACTAAGTATCCCTTAAGCTCCATCATCAGCCACTGCTACAGGCTGCTTACCTCTTCCTTGAGGTCAGGTGTCTGGCAGAGTGAATGAGGCATCTATGAAGGGGACTCCTTAGGGATACTTGGCTGAGATGACTCTAGGTGAGGGGCAAGATGGGGACAGCAACCGTGGTTGGGTCATTTGCATGAATTCCTCTGTTTCTTCAAGTCCCCTGAAGTACACACAGGCCTTGGTCAAGAAGACAGTGTTTTGGGGGCATTTGTTCCTCAGTTGGTGATACTATGAGGCAGGAGTGGGGGTGGACCCTAGGATTTAAGTCAGTAAGAGCAGGCTTTTGAAGGTTAAGGCCCCAGTCCAGTTCTGGCCACTCTTGGCTTCCTGCTCTGTCCCAAACACACTCCCATCCCAACTCCACCTCCCCCACCATCGTGGACTGTAATGCCTTTGAAACTGTGAGGCAAAGTCTTTCCTGCCTTAAATTGTTCCCTTCAGTTACTGTGGTCACAGCGGGTGGCAGAGGCAATTCACAGAGCTAGGCTTTCTTCCAGCCCCCAATCCCACACCACAGATGGCTCCTGGCTACATAACATGTCAAAAGCTGTCTTCCTTCCTTCTTTTCTGAAGGGTCAGGCACTGAAAGGACTAGAAAGACACAGGACGCACCAAGACCAAGTTCTCAGCACAAAGGAGGTTTGTTCCAGAGGGACAGAGGGCAGGAAACAGGAGATAGAGGATGAGGCAGAAGGAAAATGGAACAAGGGAGAGATGGGGAAGGGATATTTGCCCTGAAGGGACAAAAGACTGCTTCTGGATAGAGAAGAGACAGATATGGGCCATAAGCAAATGGCAGTCTATAAGAGGAACAGAAGGAAGACCTGTGTTAGGATGAGGTGTTTAATTTTAATCAGGCATGTTAATTAAGGTAGCCAAAAGGGGGCTTTTGATGGCTGGACTTCAATACTCTGACAGCTGGACCTTGGTGGTCAGCCTCAGGAGGAAGTGGCCAAATAAGGGAATAGACCTTGGGGTCTAGCTTTAGGGATGTAATCTAACAGGTTAGCAAGGCAGAGGGAATGAGGGAAGGCCAAGGCCTGCCAGAGCTGTGCTTGCCATGCTCAGGCCTGCCAGAACGCTTCCCTTTCCATACTTGTCTTCATCTTCCATTAGCAAACTGTTGTGATACAGCAATGCCTCCCAAGAGGTGCAGTGTGGGATAAGCCCGTGGCTACCCTGTCCATCACTGCACTGTCCAGGGCAACAAGAGATTCATATACACCATTCCTTCCTTCTGTGCCCCACCCTTTTTCCCCCTCTCTTCCTTCTGCAGGGTCTCATGTAGCCTAGACTGGCCTCCAGTTTGCTATGTAGCTAAGAATGGCCTTGAGCTACTGATCTTCCCAAGTGCTAGGGTTACAGGCATGGGACACCATACCTGGTTTATGCAGGGTTGGAGTTTGAACCCGGGACTTTATGCACGATAGGGAAGCATTCTACAACCTGAGCTACACCCTCAGCTCATGTGCTATTTGTTTATCTGTCTACCAATTGTGTATATACAGGTAGGGCCCACACTTCTGCTATCACATGTCAGAACAATTGTGTGAGTTGATTCTATGGACCACGTGTGTTACTGGGAATGGAACCCAGATCATCAGGCATGGTGGCAAGCCCCTTTACTTGCTGAGCCCTGCTTATTTCCTATGATGAAAAATTATATGCATAAAAACATACAAAGCGTATATTCATAACCATAAGGCAAATCTCTATGTAGCCACCACCCAGAGCAGGAGCGGAGCCTCCAGGGACTGACCTCTAAAACCCTCCACTTGCTCCCATTTATCACAGCCCTGGCTCTCCACTGTGACGCCGACGTTCATTTCTGTCCTTTGCGTGCTTGCTTTTCACAGTGCAGTGATGCCAGGGATAAACTTTTTGGAGAAAAAATTTACTGTATAGATTTTGTTGATCATTCCCTTAGTAAGAGACAATGATCATTACAGTGTTATATGATGGAATGGTTACTACATGTCTCTGTGGTTCCTGTTGTTACTGCACGGTTAATCTGGTCTCTTTTGTTGTCCACAGACATTTGGGTTATCTTCTGTATGTTTACTTGTCTTTTGAGACAAGGTCTCATGTAGCCTAAGCTGACTTTAAACTCAGGATACACTCCTGCCTGGCTGTTAACTCATTTTTAAATTTTTTTTTTTTTGGTTTTTCCAGACAGGGTTACTCTGTGGCTTTGGAGGTTGTCCTGGAACTAGGTCTTGTAGACCCGGCTGGCCTTGAACTCACAGAGATCCACCTGCTTCTGCCTCCCAAGTGCTGGAATTAAAGGTAAACAATTCAAAATAGTTTAGGAAGTTCCTGAAATTGACCAGAAACCCTAGGCCCATCCCTGCCAGAGTAAGCAATAAACACCAAGAGTCTGCCTCAGAGGGAAGAAAGTTGAGCAACAGCCAACCACTGCCATCCGCATGGAGCTTCCTGAAAGAGGGTTAGACCAGCGGAACCACCTGGAGAGCACATTCTTCAGCCTGCTGAGCTTCCTGCAAGCTGTGCAGTGCGCACCAGGTTTCAGCTTTATGAGCTATCACCCATGCTGGGGTGGGCTTTGGTGACGCAGCTGTGGATGGCCGTGCACATCAGGGTTAGACAGCAGCAAGAGAAGATTCTGAGTGGGGATCTGGGATGATAAGGTATTTTTATTTTCATCTTAAAATTTTTTCTTTGCATTTATTTATTTTTTGGTAGGAGGCAGGGGAACGTGTCACAGCATATATGTGGAGGTCAGAAGACAAGCTGTGGGGATCAGTTTTCTCCTACCACGTAGGTACCAGGTACAGAAATTATCATAATTATCATCAGGCTTGGTGGCAGGTGCTTTTACCCAGTGAGCCATCTCACCAGCCCCAACTCCTAAAAAAAAAAACAAGACTTAAAAAAAGTTTGTATGTGTGTCCGTGTGTGTTCGTGTGTGTATGTAGCCACAGAGCCCAGAAGGGAATGCCAGATGCCTTGGAGCTGGAGTCACAGGTGGTTACCCACAGTGGGTGGTGAGAAGGAACTCAAGTCCTCTGTGTGAGCAGCAAGCGCTCCTAACCACTGAGCAACCCTCTTAGGCCCCTCATCTTCACTTCTAATCTAGAAAATGTCCCTCAGAGAGACGGTGCTCTAACTCCGCAGTGTTGTCTGCCTCCTCCTATGATCTGACTTTCTACCATCGGAACCCTTTGGCCTGGCTGGTCCTGGCCCCTGTGTCCCCCACAGACTGGCACCCTCTATGGCAGCCTTCTCTCTGCGCAGCACACTGGTGGCGCAGTTGGGTGGGGGTGGGAAGAAATTCAGAAGAGGAAGTGGAAACCAGATACCAGAGCCACAGCGAAGCTGGCCCTCCAAGCCGCGTGTGAACTGCGCACTCTGTGGAGGACCGTGTGAGACCCCTGGGGAACCTGTCGGGGGCGTGCCCAGGTCACCCGGCTGAGGTTCCCCAGGCGTACATCGCATGCGCAGTCTTCACCTCAATCCCCTTGTGTCACAACACTGAGTCACAGAGCCAGAGGCCTTGAGTGCTATCGGTACTGGGCAGTGGCTGACAGCATGGGATCTGGACCTGTCTAAACTGAGATTAAAGTGTGATTTATTAGTGGTGTGACTCTGGGTTAGTCCTGGCTTTCCTCAGCCTCGGTTTCCGTATAAAAGAGGGCCGACAGGGCTACTGTAACATGTAGAAGGAGCCTAGCAGAGCACGGCCAGCACAGGGGAAGAGTGAGCAGAAAATGGAAACTATCATGGAGTTCGCGATGGAACCTGGGACAGTGAGGGTGGAGGGCTTGTCCTGGCCAACGGTGTCGGTCAGGCGCTGCGAGAGGACCCAGGTGGACTCTGAAACTCGCTCAGCCAGGCAGTGCGCCCCCCCCCCGCTCGTCCACCTTCGTTCAGAACCCTGTCCCTCTCCACGGGGTTCTGAAGGGCAATGATTTCAGACGAGGAACCTCTCTGCATGTAGAAACACCGGCCCGCCCCTGGCTTGCCTTCAGGAGGCTGCACGGGCGGGTGGCAGCTGTGACAGCCAATGGGCAATGGAGATTGTTGCTAGGGTCACTGTGAACCTTATTTGGCGACATGGAACTGACCCTGTGTTCACCTCTGAGAACCCTGAGAAACGCCAACCACAGCTGTGAAATATGAACATCTCAAAACCACAGCTGCATTTCCTCTGAGAAAAGATTCGGCTCTCCCCCTTTCCTTCCCTTCTCTCCCTGGATGCCGGGAAGCCATGCGAATCTCAGGACAGAAAAGCCTGTTGCCTGCTGCAGGCTCATACTGAGCAGGCACAAGGACAAGAAGGCAGAAACCACTACACGGCAGGCAGCTCTCAAGTCCAGACCCTGCCAGGACCCAGCTTCCCTGGTCTCCACGGCAGCTGCTCCTCCATACCCTCCCCACCGCCCTCCACCACAAACACACCCAAAGGGCCTGCTCCTGGCCACACTTCCGGCAGCCTTAGGAAGCCTGCTGGTGTGAGGAGGATGAGGGGGATGCAGGCAGCCAGGAGGCAGGGAGGAAGTGGGCCTGCCCTGTGGGCCCTCACCATCTGCACTGGCCACATCGCTTCAGACCAGCCAGGCAGCCCACAGCTCAAACGGTTGGCAGTTTCGGTTTGTCACCTCTGGTACAACTTGCAGCTTAACATTAAATGAAGCTATTGTACCACCCCAGACAAGCGAGAGGGAAGGTGGGCTGACACCCACAGGTCCCTCACTTTGGCACAGGTTTGTGTGTTTGGGACCTGTGCTTACATTCATCTCAATGGCTTCTCACGGTTCTGGCTACTGTAACAACAGCGCGCGCGCGCGCGCACACACACACACGTGCTGTAATAAAAAATTATTTTTTACAAAGCCAGTCATGTTCCCAACTTTTGGCTCCTAATCCACCGGATGAAAGAGGCTTTTCTTTCCTGGCGCTTCTGGAGTTGGGTGTCCTTGTGTATATGGGACGGGCTGTGTGACGCCGGCTGTACAGAAAAGGGGGCAAAGACAGGGCTATGTTAGGTGTGCCTCAGGTGGCCTACCCCTGCTACTAAGCCTAGCAACCTGTCGTACTGGAGACCGTCCAAGTGTTCCATGAGCTGGGGCTGGGAACTGGGACTGCAGATCTGGGGTGCTTATCACCACCAGCCTCAAGGCAGGGCGTTCAGAGGGCCTGGGGAGGCGTGCAGACACTGAAGGGCCAGGCACGTATCTGAGTGTGTACTTGCTGCATCTGAGGTACTGTTATCCCACACTTTGGGGACACAATATAAGTCACACAGACTGAGTCTGGGCCTCAAAGATGTGTAGCTCAATGGAAGAGGCAGACATTAGCCATTGTACCATGAAGATAGCTGACAAATTCAGGGTTAGGAAAGGGTGAAGTTTCAGGGGTGTGTAGGCTTGGGGGGTTTGGGGCTGCTCTCCCTCACCGAATTCTCTCCGGTATTCTAATTTCTCCAGGAAATCTGTTGCCTGCACGAAGGCTGACCTGCTGGAACCATCCAGTGTGTGTACACTGGAACCATGTGTAGGGGTGGGGTTAGAGAAGAGAGCCCAGGGTTTCTGATCTTTGACCCTGGTTACATTGCATAAGCACCTTCTTCCTCAGGGGGAGGTCCCCCCCCAGGCACTGTTGGAAAGCACGAAGAGTGTCTGCACATGAAGACCTGCTATGTATGGACTGACCTCCTGCCCTCAGTGAGCAGGCCTCTTTCTCCCTCGGGGACTCTCCCTGTGGAAAAGAAGCCCTGGTGCCTCTGAGGGATGGGAGGCTCTGATTTCCAGTTTCATTTTCCAGTTTCGATTTAGAAGCAGCTTTGCCAGCTTGCTACTTGCCCTGGTCTCCAGGGCTTTGGAGAAGCTGTAGAGAGAGAAGGAAGCTGTTCAGCCAGCACCCTGTCTGGGGGCTCCTCGAGAGCAGGCAGGGGCAGGACTCCGCATGGGGATGCTAGGAAGCTGCAGATTCCTGGTCTCTGAGGTGGGGTCCTTCAGGGATTCTCTCTTGGTCTACACGAAGGCAGTCTGAGGGCATCAAGACAGCTGGAGCAAGCATATCGACGTAGCCTGAACCAGCTCCATGGCACTTTCTAGTACAACTGTTCGTGAAAGGGGGTCTGTCTATTCAGCACCCCATCCTTCCCTGCCTGACCCTTGACCCTCTGCGTGAGGAAGCACCTCCTTCATGGTGGAGTCCAGGCAGGCTATGGGAGTAAAAGGCAGCCCTTTACACAATGGTGGATAAAAATGGTACTTTTTAGGGTTTCAGGAAGCTTCTTCCTCCTGCCTCAGTTTCCTTTTCAGCTGCTAAAACACAGTGGGGAGCATTAGGAACAGAAACAAGTTCAGAAGTTACTGTTCAAGACTGTCAAGTCTCTTTCCTCTGCCCATTGTCATTTACTTGAAATTCTTAGTCTGACTCTGACTTGCATCTTCTCCCCATACCGTGTTTGAGAACGTATCGGGTGGGTCACCCTTGCACCCTTGCCCTGGTTTGAGAGAGCAGGTGGACAGGTCCCCAGCCAGCCTGGCAGATGTAAGGGTCCCTAATCTCTAGGGCAAATTTATTCTTTGGGTGCTTCTAGTATCGGCCTTTGATCAATCATTAATCAAAGTTGCAATAAAAAGATAATCCTCTCAGAACTGGGCTGTAAAGCTCCTGGCTGCAAGGTTAAATAAAGCCTTCTTTGGAGGCCTCCCAGTCAAAAGAGAAGGGCCACATATCTTCGGCTGCCCAAGAAGACAAACAAAGGCTCTGTCTGTTCTGGGTGGGCATACACTTCACTTCTGTCACTGGCTGTTACATCGTTTTTTATCTTTCTCTACTGATGAAGTGAGAGATGTCTTGAATCCTAGACCAGGTGGCCAAGCAGAGGAAAGGGTTCAAATGTGAGCTTGGGTTACTGCCCCAATGGTATGTGATAAGTGCTGTCTTACTGGGTCAGATCTGTGGCAGTCGAGGGATAACAGAGCCCCATGGTGGAGGAGCTGCCAGAGGGGTCAGAGACTCTGCAGCTCATTTCGTATGCAGAGGCTGGCCTGCCCCTTGAGAAGGGAGGTCCTGCTCCCTGAGGGGCTGGAGAAGCAAGATCTAGTCAGGGATAGTGCAAGGCTCAGCACCATGTCCCAGAAGCAAGTGCTTCAAGGCAGAGGCTGGAGGACCCTGAGCAGCTGACACAGGAGCTCCAGAGAGCTGTCTTTCAGCATCCGTAAGGGCACAAGAGGCCCTCCTCTGTCTATCCCTTCCCACATGTGCCTGGACTGGCCCGCTCTGCAAGCAGTTTTAGACACAGCAAAGAAATGGGCATTTTCAGAGAAGCACGGCCCAGGATATGAGTAGAAATCATAGAAGAGCAAAATCAGCCAGAAGAAATCTCTCAAGATATCACTGACATCCAGAATAATAGATCTAGTTCTGGGTGGTTCCAAGGGAGGAGGCAGCACTGTGGGGCAGTTGGGGGACAGGGTGAGGAATTCTTCCTTTAGGTTCAATAAGGCCTCTGAACACACACACACACACACACACACACACACACACACACACACACACACACACTCTCTCTCTCTCTCTCTCTCCCTCTCTCTCTCTCTCTCTCTCTCTCTCTCTCTCTCTCTCTCTCAGGAATAGAAAGATTCTGAATTTTTTTTTGTTTTGTTTTTTGAGACAGGGTTTCTCTGTATTGTTTTGGAGGCTGTCCTGGAACTCACTCTGTAGACCAGGCTGGCCTCGAACTCACAGAGATCCGCCTGCCTCTGCCTCCCGAGTGCTGGGATTAAAGGCGTGCACCACCAACGCCCGGCTAGATTCTGAAATTTTAACAATGGGTATGTTTAGTGATTGAGAATGATTTTAAGCCCTCTCACTGTGTTTATTAATAATTTCTAAAATCTAAAATAAACATTCCTTTTTGTGGTAAAATATAAAATATGTATCACTACATTACTCACTAGCCATGACAAAATATCAGACAAAGGCAACTTAAGGGAGAAAGGCAAATTTTGGCTCATAGTTTGAGGGGACCATCCTCATGAGAGGAAGGCACAGGTTTGAGGGCACCATCCTCATGAGGGGAAGGCACAGGTTTGAGGGACCATCCTCATGAGAGGAAGGCACAGGTTTGAGGGCACCATCCTCATGAGGGGAAGGCACAGGTTTGAGGGCACCATCCTCATGAGGGGAAGGCACAGGTTTGAGGGTACCATCCTCATGAGGGGAAGGCACAGGTTTGAGGGCACCATCCTCATGAGGGGAAGGCACAGGTTTGAGGGCACCATCCTCATGAGGGGAAGGCACAGGTTTGAGGGCACCATTCTCATGAGGGGAAGGCGGGGAAGGTGGGGAAGGCGGGAAAGGCAGGGAAGGTGCAGCAATAGGAGCTTCAGGCAGCTTATTACTTTGCACCTACAGTCAGGAAGCAGAAAGAGACGCATCCCCGTGTTCAGCTCTCTGTATTTTCATTAGTCAGCCTAGGATCCCCCCTCCATGGGATTTAGGGTGGATGTACTTGCCTTAATAAACCAAATATAGAAAGTGCTTCACAGCTCAGAGGGTTGCTTTCCTCATGACTAAATCCCATCAAGTTGACAACCAAGATAACCGTCATAGAAGCTGTAATCCTGTGTGTTGTTTGAGACAGGTTTAACTAGTGCAGGCTGGTCTAGAACTCCCTAGGTAGCTCAGAATTATCCTGCCTCCACCTCCCAAGAGCAGGCATCTGCTTGGTCATTATAACCATTCAAGAGTATGGTTTACACATAGCCATCTTTAGAACTTTTCCACAACACTAACTGGAACTCCTATACACAGTAATCATGAGCTCCCCACTTTGCCTTCTAGTCCTGGCAACCACCCTTCTACTTTCCG